GTGGCCCCGCATTGCAGCTGTGTCGCTAGGCGGACCGTCAGGCGTGTGAGTGGGACGGTTGTTGTGCCGCCCGGCATCTGCCATCCGACCCGCTTTAGGATCATAGCCATCGCCTGAGTGCTGTTGGGGGTGCTTGGAGCCGCCATATCCCCCGCCGTTGGCCTCTCTGGCTGCTGCTGTTGGGGTTGCTGCTCATGCGGCTGCGTCTGTAGCTGTTGCTGCGGCTGTTGCTGCTGTTGCGGCTGCGGCTGATGCTGTGTCTGTAGCTGTGGTTGTGTTTGCAGCTGTTGTGGCTGTACCTGCGGCTGTGGCTGCGGCTGAGGCTGCGGCTGTAGCTGCGGCTGTGGCTGCGGCTGTGGCTGCGGCTGTGGCTGCGGCTGTGGCTGCGGCTGTGGCTGCGGCTGTGGCTGCGGCTGTGGCTGCGGCTGCAGCTGTGGCTGCGGCTGTGGCTGTGGCTGCGGCTGTGGCTGCAGCTGTGCCTGCGGATGGGGTTGCTGTTGCTGTTGGGTTTCCACTGCTCTTGCAGCTTCGAGCCAGGCCGGGTTGATAGCTCCATGTAGCGTCTTAAGGGCTGCCAGGGTCGCTGACCTGTCCCGCGTGGGTGCTGGGGTTGATGGGTCGAGGTGTGTCCTGACCCATTCAGGCCAGGTCGACCTGGGGAGGGAGGCCACACGAGTATGCACCACTAGGTCCCAGACCCGCACTAGGTCGCCCACCGTTTGCAGTTTCCTGCATGTAGCGATCCCCACGAAGTGCGTCTCCAGGCCCGGGCGGCGGTTCAAACTGTCTGGGTCTGCCTCGCCGGTATTGGGGAGCAACGGGTTACCCCACAACGCGGTTGCCCAGCACCACGGTCCGGGGGACAGGGGGCTGGTCTCGATATCCCGGAGCGGTGGTAGGTGTCCCAGGGCGCCCACAATCCGGCTGATATCCGTGGGTATGTCGCTTCCGCCGAGTCGGGGCCCGGCTTGGCTGGCGGTCGTCAGGGCCCATGGTTGGAAGGCGGGGTGGGTGAGCAGCATATAAGCGGAGAGCGTCCGGACCCAGGGATGGAGACCACCATCTGCCCTCCCGTGTCCCCTGGTACCACCTGTGGTTCCTGCAGCTCCACCTGTCCCTGGCCCACATGACGCGTTAGATAGCCCGAGGGCCGCTATGATGAAGCGCACAGCCCATAACGCATGCCGAGCCTGGATGTGTTGCTGGAGGGGCAGCAGGCCAAAGCCTCCAGCCGACGGGTGGCCGGTCAAGAGATCCTTAGGCACCCCTGTCAAGCGGCGGCCGGGGTCTTCTGGGCCCTGCTGCCGGTCGACGAGGCGGGCCGTTAGGCGTTCTATTTCGTCCAGCGTACGGTTGGGGGGCGGCCCACCATGCTCCATGTGCCAGGTGACTGTCTGCATTCCGTACACCGATGCCGCTGTGGCTCGACCGAATGCTGATAGCGGGGGATCGGGAGAGCCGCTGCAGTCGCCGCTTGGCTTCCCCGAGTCTCTTCATCCAGTCGGGCTGTGGCGGGGATGGCTGGTTTCAATCAGCA